TACGTGACCATTGATGGGTTTAGTTATGTTACTTATAACGAAGACCGCTTTGATCCTATGTTGATATAATCAATGGACGAGATTGTTCGGAGATGCTTTTGGTTATGATAGCAAAAGTTTTGAGCTCATAAGGTTATACACATTTATAAGGTAGCATATGTGGCCCAAGTGGGAGATTGTTGGGAAATTATTTAATTTCCCGTGATGGGCCGACATATGTAATTAACTGTGTATAAATGCTATCTTAAAGTTAAGCCCAAAATTAAAGTGATCTAATAAGGAATTAAGTAATTGGGCTTTAAGCATCTAATTAAAGTGTGGGCCGGACTATATGTGTAGAGACCGGATCCATTAGGGTTTGTATTTGACGATGGGCCGAATACATATGGAAATATATAAAGGGTTATGGTCCCCAATTCATATGGTGATTTTCTCATTCTTTGTGGCATCCCATCAACACAAGAATACAAGAGAAAGCATATGAAGAGGAAGATCCATAAAACCCACAATCAGGAATTAAGATGCAGATTTGAAACAATCAAACTAAAGATTTACAGATCCAGATTCAAGATTCATTAATCAAGTCAGAAATCAATTGATTAAGGTATGTTCCGCGTTAATTCAGTTTCTTGATGATTTGACATGAAAATCTTGGCAAGATCATAAAGTTTAAGTTTTAATAAAGTTCTAACATCTACAGCGTGAAAAAATAAGAAAGATGAGGATATTTCGAGTTAGAAACCATGATTAATGTATTGTTAGGTTCAATCATTCATATGATCAATGAATTTTTTTTAAGTATAAATAAAGTACTACAGGACTAAAACCAGACCAGCAGATTGAATGTCTACTATTAAGAAACAACTTATATTCCCCAGTCTCAAATTGAAATTTGCTTGACTTTGCTCTGCAATTCATAAAGCACGCCAAATACAGCTTTACTTATGGTTTTCGCCTCACCTATCTATAATTACATCTCCTAATAGAGGTTTTTATACACTTAATAGTGATACTTATTACATTTAGAAGTAAGAAGTTATTTGCCGAAACTATAGCACGAGACGTTGAGAAGAGATTTTTTTTTTTTTTCTGGAGAAACTAGGCTTGAAAGTTAAATTTATTATCATAAGGACGAGCACTGTCACAAAATAGTACCTGTGCAACCACCAATGTGTTTGCCACCTGCTCATGAGAAACGAATATTAGTTGTAGTACTCTTCACAATCTTATATGAAAGAAAGATGATTTTGGAGCTAAAATCGTGTGAAATTAAAATTTACAGTCTTATTTTTTAAAACATGAAATCTCTCTATCGGCAATATGCTGTCTTTTAACCTATTACCAACGGAATGTTTTGCAACAACATATCAGGTCAATTACATCTCTTCATAATGTGATGATGTGCAGATCTAGCCTGTATTCAGGGCTTTTCAAGGAACATAGTTATTAGTTCGTAACTTGCAAGTTCAGCGAATAGCATAAAGTTATAGAGCAAAGTAAAATGAGTTTCATATATGTTCAACGTTCTAAATTAATGTATCGCAGAAGTGTAAAGCATTTTTAAATCCTTCTTACCAATAAAAACATTTGGAACAGTATGTTGTCCAGTTAGCCTCTCCAGAGTCTTCTGCAGCTGGGGTCCTTGGGGACCTGAAGAATGAGAAAAAAATCTTCTCTTTACGAATTCTTGTGTAGGATTAAACAACTTAAAATCAGCATACATTACAAGAAGATCCCAAGAAAAAGAATTCAAGCGACTGACCCCAAATTTGTCGATAATAATTCTCACTTTTTGGTAGTTTTATTAGAAAAATTAAGCATTTCATATTTTAGAGCTTTTAGTAAAGTTTGTTTAAACAATACCATATTTAGATTTCACGATACCTCTGAATAAATTCAAATAGCTAAATGGTATATTTTCTCTCAAATAACATCAATATAATCAAAGGACAGCAGTTTAACTCTTCATTTTCTATATAATACAGACACTTTTGCCGTGATCAACGCGGAATACAACTCAACGCTCGCACAAATATACACCGATCAATAAATGGCAGTTATACCCATAATGTTTAGAGGCCAGTAACCAAAATCAAGAAAGGAAAAGCTTAGTATCAAATCAAATCAAATCAAATTTCATCTGTAAGTTGCAATTACAATTTTTTCTTTTTTACCTTCAGACGTCACATTTGCAGCCGATTTTTCTAATTAACGCCATTTACTGATTTACGTATCAATCTCAACTGTATCAATCATCTGTTGAAACTTGGAACTCATATCAAATTGTATTGGCATGCAAGTGGTCTCCAGAAACTACAAACACATCCGACCAAAATTTGCAATGTTTTATGCACATACTCGCACTAATAGGATTTATAAAGAAAAGAAAAAAAAAACTTACCCATCTGGTCCAATTCAATAACAAGCGGCTCCAAGCCAAAAGCACAATGATTTTGATAGAAAAACATAATAGGATTATCGATCAAAACAATAATCAAATCCTTAATTTTCAATAATAACCATAGATCTTATTCCATGTTGAAATTCGAAAAAATAACAAGACACAAAAACATAATAATATGAATGATTGGTAATCTTCCCTTAACTTTTTGCTCTCTATTGATGGGAATGTAGAGAAATTTAAAGAACACCAACAAATGAGACCATAACCATATAAAATAATAGTAGCAACTCAATAGTCACTATCTTTTATTTGCTTCAAATTAGCCCCTCATCAATTTGAAACAACACTCCGGTCTCCACACTATAATTCCATGAATTCTGATATCCATTAGTCACAATACATCTTTATCGGATCACTTTAATTGACTAATATCCTTTAAACAATAGCACCACACATTTCAATATACAACGTGTGGCCCCATATATGTTCAAATTATCCAATAGATTTCACCTCCAAAGAGTACCTACGCCACGAAGTTCAAACAAACGCCACTTCAAATCTCTTGAGAAACAATATTAAATATGACAAAAAATGTAACATGATCTACAATTTGCATCCAATAAAAAAAAAAGAAGAGAATCAGCGAGCACTTACGAATACCAAGTTTTGGAGTAAACAACAACTGGATTCTCAGCCACAGTCTTCTTTACACTTTCCTCCAATCGGGACCCAAACGAGCTAGATGACATGGCCCAAATCTTAATTCACCGCCAATTTCTCGATATGGCTTTGTCGGACATTGTTCCGCCGCCAACAATGCTGTGGAACGTGAAAGTTGTAACGATTTTGAAGAGTATGAGTAGGGGATAAAGAAAGTGAATTCAATCTTCCAATGGTGAATTGAGACGTGCAAGCCAGTAACGCCATTTTTTTGCTGTTAATTTTCTGTCATCGAAGATAAAATTTAACAAAATGTGATTGGAGTTTTTTTGTATTTTTTTCCCATCTTTTAATACTGTCGCGTCATGTGTTTTGTAGCTGGGCTGCACCTATTATTTGCTTCGGCGCCAAATTAAATTAAATATTTTTCACTTTAATATATATATATATAGAAATATTTTTATCAAAATTTATTTTTCTCCCAATTGTGATTTGATAAAAAAAAAAATGTAAAATTAAATCTATGTTAAAAAAACATATTCATTTTTTTTGGAAATCCAAGTCTTTGAGATTCGACTTTGAGCAAATCCTACTTCGAATTAAGAGCAGAAAGTATTGGTGAAACCATATTATAAATTAATTTTTCTCCATTTAAATCAATATAGTTAATAATTTTTTTTTTTAAAAATGAGTAATGTTAATCATAATCAACGACTACAACAATCATCCCATATGACAACTTTTTGGGGGTGTTTGACACCCATATAGAAAAATGTGTTATTGAATAGTGATTGATGGAAAAATGTGTGGTTAAAACGTAAAGGGAATTTTTAGGTTTATATATAATATTATTTTATTACACCACCCGTCAACCACCAACACCCCGCCAAGCCCCAACCGAACCAACACCGGAGCAGCACCACCAATCAACCACGACAAACCAAACCACAACAACCAACTAGAAAAAACAACACCAAAAGGCCGGCTAGAGGCACTCAGATCTTTTCCCCCCGTCGTCAGCAGCAAACACCAGAAAACCACAGCTGGTCGAGGACCCAGCTCTCTCACGAAAAACTCAACCACCGCAACTGTGGTAGGTCGTACGGCGCCAGCCATACCTCAACCGGCACGTCCAGAAACTGCGCCACCACCGGAGAGAAAACCACCTCACCTCCACCGGACCGACACCACAACACACACAATACTCGAATCACATACACACACACACACAGGACGCCAGACAGAAAAGAGGGGAAGGGAAAAGGGAGGGGGGAGCCGAAGCTCCCTCCCCCGTCGATCGCACAGCTAGAGCTTACGCAGAGGGGGGAAAAAAAGGGGACAAATTATGGAGAGAGAGGATTCGAACTCTGACGCAGCCAAGAGCAGAACGTATTGGTGAAAACATATTATAAATTAATTTTTCTCCATTTAAATCAATATAGTTATAATTTTTTTTAAAAAATGAGTAATGTTAATCATAATCAACGACTGCAGCAATCATCCCATATGACAATTTTTTGGGGGTGTTTGACACCCATGTAGAAAAATATGTTTTTGAATAGTGATTGATGGAAAAATGTGTGGTTAAAATGTAAAGAGAATTTTTAGGTTTATGTATAATATTATTTTATTAATAGAATGTGTGGTTGAAATGAAAAAAGAAAAATAATAAGAATGAGAATGAAAAAAAAAATGAGTGTCAAACTGGTTTATTTGAAGCATTAACTTATTATTTAAAGCAACAAAATTATAAAAAAACTAATGTTTCAAATAACACGTCGTCGTGTAGTATGACTATGATAGTTATTGACTATAAATATCATTATTCTTGTCCATTACTTCACTAAAATAATTTGGACATTTTAAAATTATCATTCGAATAATAAGCTTTTTAAAAAGCATAAATAATTAAATATGCCTTGCCGTATATAAAAATGTACCAATGTATCAAAATACAGTTCCTATGATCATTTTTGTTTATACGAAATTATGTGGTAAAACACGTAGCACGGGTAGGACTGCACCAATTTTCATTGGTCAGCCATGGAGGCTTTGTCTAACCCCGTCCATTTTGACACCTCTACATGTCACACCGTTTTGACACCACTTTGATTCAGAACCTGCAAATAACCTTCTTTACAACAAAAGTGCTCAATAAATTGTCCCCTGAAAAAAGAAGAAAAGTAACAACAGTATTAGTCCCTATATAATTTAAGGCTTTCATTTCACTGAGATCACTTGCAGAAATCAATACATGTTAATTGTTGATATCAAGCTACATTATGCAGACTGTGGAGAATGGATAAACACTTCATGGCATGTTTGTCAAGGAAGATTAAACAGACTTAGACGGGGTTAGTAATGAATAAAAAAGAAGCTATCCCGTTCATTATTCTATCATGGCCAAGTCCTCTCAAATACAAGTACCTAAAGAACACATTATCGGAGACAAGGATATCCATCTCTTCCTATATTGTCTCTGTCCCATCAAGCCATCTTGCCTAATAGATTCAAAATGCGGGTAAAAATATTCTCTCCTAGAATAGAACACCCACAGATCAAAATTTTCAAAAATTACTGAGTTAAGTACAAACAATCAACAGAAATTCAAAGAGGCAAGCTATCCATCGATTTATTTCCTCCAACCATCGAAGAATGAATATATCGTACAAAAAAGAAGATGATATTTGATTATCTACTTCACAAGCTCCAGATTATATAAACATGAATATTCTTTCAGCTCAGTCAAGAAAGAAAGAAATAGATGAAACTAGAAATAATAAAAAAATGAATGCTCTTACAAGCTGAAATGACAACCAGAAGAAAATTGGATATTTGTAAAATTTAAAGTAAAACAGATGGTGCCAAATATACTAGCAAAAATTCAATAGTTTATACAATATTTAGTTAAAATAAACGATAGAAAAATAATATTCCTCATATGAAAAATTATACCTGGAATATATGTCACGTCAAGCATCAACCTCCTGTCTGATCTCCTTGATAAGCTCCTCCTTGTACTCCTCAAATGAACCTGGGAAGGTCTCAACTGTGCCATTGTCGACTAGCCATATTTCACTTTTTTCTTCATCTTCACAAACACGCGATATAAGTCTAGAATCATGACTGACTAGGACAACTCCCCCAGTGAACTCATCAAGTGCATCTGCCAGTGCATCAATGCTCTGCATATCCAAATGATTTGTTGGCTCGTCTAACAGCAGAATGTGTGGCTTAGACATGGAAATGGAGGTGAAAACCACCCGGGATTTCTGCCCTCCAGACAATTTGGCAATTGGGGTGAGGTGGTTATGGCTGGGGAGTCCAAACTTTCCAAGCTTTGCACGAACTGCCTCCTGCTTACTGAGTCCCTCTTGATCAGGATGAAGACGGAGAAGATATTGAACTGGTGTTTCGTCCATTATTAGTAGATCCACAAAGTGTTGCGAGTATCTACCAATCCTCAATTTCTGACTCCTTCGCACTTCACCCTCTGTTGGAACCAAGTCACCAGCAAGAAGGTTGAGCAAGGTAGACTTCCCAGCTCCATTAGGCCCAACAATAGCAACACGAGTCCCCATATCAATGCCAACGTCAACATTGGAGAGTTTAAAATCCTCTCGGTTTGGATAACTGAAACTAACTTCAATTAGTTGCAGAAGTGGAGGAGTTAGCTCAGTGGGTTCAGGAAAATGGAACTCCACAGTATAATCTCGCCATTTATGAGGTGCCTCATGCACGGGCTCATCTTCATCAGCCTTTCCCTTAGACTTATTTTTAGATGCTTCCTTGGCAGCAGCAAATTTTGCTCGATCCTTGACCTTCTCCTGCTGAGCACGATTACCCGACCTCCTAGCAGCTTTCACCTGCTTGTCATAAATCTCAAACTTCTTGTTCATCTCTTTACGACGCTGCTCATATCCACTTTCAAAATCGTCGAAATTTCCACGATAGAAATGGAGTTTCATGTCATGGAGATGAATAATTTCGCTGCAAACTGTATTAAGAAAATCCCGATCATGCGAAACAACAACAAGGGTTTTCTTCCAGCGGGTCAAGTACTCTTCTAACCAGAGAACAGCTCTGAGGTCAAGATGGTTAGTGGGTTCATCCAGCAACAACAGAGTTGGCTGAACAAAAAGTGCCCTGGCCAAAGAAATTCTCATCCTCCAACCACCACTAAAGGACTTAGTAGCACGGCCCTGCATCTTTGTAGTGAAACCCAATCCAGCAAGAATTTTCGAAGCCTGAGCCTCTGCAGCATCTGAACCGAGCAGCTGCAACTTTTCATACAATTCAGCAAGCTTCTCACCCACGTCATCCCCATCATGATCATCTTCATTCTCTTCTTTGGTGTCAGAAGATATATTTTGCAAAGATGCAACCTCTTGTCGAATCTTGACAAGTTCTTCATTGGCTGAAACAACTGCTTGAAGTGCTGTTCTATCATCACCAACGACCTCTTGTTCAACCAAAAGTACATCTATGTTTTTAGGTACAGGTATCTTTCTCCAAGCAAGGAGTTTCAACAGGGTAGACTTACCCATCCCATTTGGTCCAACCAATCCATACCTCTTTCCATGAGATATCTTTACCGATGCATTCTTCAAGAGTTCTTTGCCGCGAGCAGACACAGAGAAGTTATCAATTGTTATATCTTTGACATTAGCATCCGCATCATCTTGTCCATCAAGAGTAGAAGCCCGGCTACCAATTACAACAGTAAAAGCATCACGATCATCCTTGAGGGCCTCCCGTTTGGCTAGCTCAGCAGATTGTAAGGCAAACATATCCTTCTTTTCTCGTTTCTTCAACTCTTTGTCACTAATGGCGATTTCAAGAGGCTTTCCATCACTTCTATGATGCCTGCTTGGCTGCTTGTGAACCTCGTTCTGTTGTTGCTCTTCCTCAACATCATCTTCATCATCAGAAGGAGGGAGATCAATATCATCAGTATAAGATGATGGTTTTGGAGGTGCTTTTGATTTTGGCTTGTTAGAAGTAGAGCTTGACATAGAAGACCCTTTCTTTGATTTGTCAGGCTTCTGGTCCATGCTGGCAAGCATTGCAGAGACTGAGAGCTTCTCTTTACTGCTCGACTTGGCTTTTGTATTATTTCCAGCCTCATCTGGTTTTTTCTTTCCCATTGCAGTGGCTAATCAGTCAAAACAAAAGGTCAACAAAGAATGTTGTGTTGGCACGTTAAAAATCACACAAGTGCTCTTCAACATGCTGAAACTAAATAGTTCAAATGTACAAGGTCCACGACCACACCTCAAAATACACACACAACACCTAAATTTTGGCATGTGACGCATATGAAATTTCTCTTTCTTCGAATAATGAGAGTGGATATTATTATCATACAAGTAAAAGCAGAATAAGTAGTCAGTAGGCATGAAATAGATAACAGAGCAGGAAAAAAAAATCAATAAGACTCCAATTTACATTGACTTCCAGCTAGACTATCCTGAGAGGAGATTGATAATGCAAGATCAGTTTTCCAGCTACAAGAACAATTACTGGTAACTAGAAGATTACAATTGAATAGTTCATAATTCTATAAAAAAAAATGACGTTAACAATAACATGAACTAAACTCAAACACTTCCAGAAGCATAGTCAGCCTAAATTTTCTGCCATCTGCCTGGGTTCGTGTATGGTGCAAATGCCTAAATTTTTCATGCAGGACTTCACTACTTAGTTATTTAGAAATTATACAGGTTTTTCATTCCTATTGCTTTTTAAAAAATAAAAAATGAAAATAAAATATCCCCTCCCATCTAGTGCCAGATTAGTTTCTAAAACATAAATTGTACTCAGTCCTCTAGTTTTCATGTAAAAGACAGGAAATTATCCAAATCTATCCAAACCAAGGATTTGGAATTCGTAGATTTTTCAAATAAATATATAGATTAGAGTAACTTTTTTATCATATTGGACGAATTCCAAATTAAGCTATTCAATCCCTTGTCCTAACCCATGTTCAGTTATAACCATGAAGTCTTCAAAGAAGTTGCAGTGACACACCTTTGAATTATTTATTCAGCTCTTAAACAGCTTCCAGTGTTACACAAAGAACCTTTAATTTAATCATTCGGCTAAAACTTTCAGTA